CTTTAAACTCAAAATTCTATCTTCCATATAAGATTCAAAAATCATACCAAATTTTCAATGTGTTATAATTCCCATTCTATCACTTCATATCTCTTAATTTAATCCTTGACAAGTCAAATTCAACTTCACAATCTATTAACTCCTTCCATATCAAAAATTCACTTAAAAACTCATTTTTCTTAATTTCTCATAACTTGTTAATCTTTGAGGTTTAAGCCACTTAAAGCTTTCCTTAATCTTTCTTAATATCCCAAGAATCAAAACAAGCTTTAAAACGAAAGAATTAACCAACTAAAGACCCACTTACCTTATACCAAGCTTCCCGGTTGAGAGGAGGAAGAAGACTGAAGAATGCTCTGGACTCTTCTTCCTCCGTGCTTATTACCCTTTAAAAAAAATTATAAAAAAAATCTTTCTGGTCAAATGACCATAATACCCTTAATTTCCTTTAATAAATACCAAATAACCTTCAATATATATATATTCAAATAATCATTGAATTCTTTCATTCTTCTACTTTAGTCACCAAATTCTGAAACTTTACAATTTGGTCACTAACCCGGTATTGCGGATGTTACATGCGTAACATATCTAATGTTCTCAGGTCATCAAGAAATGTGGCTTGAAATTCATCACAAATGACTTTTGGAAGTGAGCTTGAGGACTCGACATACAGGTCAAAAAATAGTTTTATGGTACTATTAAAAAGTGGAAATGAAGTTGATGGGTCATATGCGGCAGCAGCGTATGGGGCGAGAAGCATACATCAATCGAAACTGACTGTTGATGTTGATGCTGAAAATCAATGAGGAGAAATACATGATGATTCCAACAAAGATGAAGAAACTGAGGAACCCATTTTGGCCGACAATGACAATGTATGCGGTGGAGGTGCACCTAATTTGGGCATCGATGAAGTTCCAACACCGTACCAAGCTACATCTTATATGTACATGTACGAGAAAGATTATGATGCAATGAGGGCACCTGAATTCCCAAACATGCCATATTTAACTCCATATCACATGAATGAACCATTCGAAAATTCGAACACATTTCCAGTTTGGATGCAATTTAGAGGAAAAAATAAAGCTACGTTGACGATTAAAAAGTATTCCATCAAAGGCCATGTTGATATCCACGTTGCAGACTCCAACCAGAAAAACCATATATGCAAAGTGTGTTAAATATGGCTCAGAGTGCAGGTGAAAGATCATAGTGTCGAAAATTCAAAAGCACGATGCTTGGGTCATCGCAAGGTACAATAGTCCTCACACATGTTTGCGAAACTCCATCGCATAAGACCACCGACTATTGGACTCTAATGTAATATGTGAATACGTGAAAGTGTTGGTTGAAAAAAAATCCAAGAATCCATTGTTCAGTGTAAAATGCATCTATTCGAAGCTAGATTGAATACCAAGTAAAATACAAAAAGGTTTTGAATGCGAAGTTGAAGGCAATGAAGCTGATATATGAAGATTATGATACATCGTACAATGAGCTATCATATTTGTTACAAGCAATGAAGTGATTTATCCCGGGAACCATATTAAAGTCTCAAACCATGCATACATACGCCGAAGAAGGTCAATTTGTTCCAGGGAAGAAAATATTTCATGGACTCTTTAAGGCATTGAAGTCATGCATAGAAGGATTTCCATTTTGCAAACGCGTGATCCAAGTAGATGGTACGTGGTTGTATGGTCAATATAAGCATGTATTGTAGATAGTAGTTGCATAAGATGGTGAAGAGTTGGCAAGCATGAGCCTCTATTGTTCCAAATATTAATGAAGTATATATATGCCTCTCAGCCCAATTATTGGCATGCTTACCCTTTGCGTTCAATCTCTGGAGCTCATTATGATTGTATGAAGGTTGCAGAATAGGCTAGTGGAAGCCAAACTGCCTCAACACTTTATCTGAAGATTGGTACTCCACAAAAAGTAAAATGAATCAACAGTGTAACAATACATCAATATTGACAACTATCCCAAACATCTTGCGACACACACGAATCATCGATGTACAACCTCCAAATAAACTGTAAAATAACTTTAAAAATGAATTATCTAAAAAGTTAAAATTTAAGGTAAGCATAACCTAAGACAACATAATATAATAATAATAATAATAATAAAATTCAATTAATCAAATTATATATATATACCTCTTTTTTGCTTTTAATGTCGATATCCAACCTAAAATATTTAATGTTATTATGCACCAACCCAATTCTTTCTATTTTATGTTGTCATCTGTAAATCAATTAAAAATATTCTTTAATTATTTTTAATCAAAATATTTAATAAAATTCTAATTAATATTTTAAATTAAAACCAAAAAGAAATATTATCTTCCGACAAGAGAAAAATAAACTGTAGTTTGACTAGGTCGGTGTTAAAAATGGAAGTCTGTGTCAAGCCCATGATTGTAGTAACATCAGACATCTATTGATTTCCGCTGTAACAGTATCATTTACGATTATTAATGTCTTGCACATCTCACGATACAAGAACGCCAATATCATTGATCCCCAACTATATTGACGAGTATTCTGAAGATTTCCCAAAAATAAGAGATAATGAGTGTGAACTAGATTACCGAATTTATCTGACATCAAAACTCCCCAAATCAACTCCAATATATATGCTCAAGTTGCATATAAAACTTCTTCATTGGAACTATTATCATCGAGCGGAAATTCATTTTGCAACCATGATAGCCTCAAAAGTCATCCTTTTAAATCTAGGTCTAATGTTGTCTTCCCAAGCAACGTATTGCAAGCAAAATCCACGTTGTATTTATTATCATGCACTATCGACATCCCATTTGTTGGGACCCCGAGTTGCATGGCCACGTCCTCCAAAGTTATCGTTCATTCTTCACGCGAAAAATGAAACGTATGTGTCTCTAGTCTCCAACGTTCAATCAACGCACTGATCAAACCCGAAACTAACTTGAAATCTCGAACAAAAGTTACAATATAAAATCCAACTTGTTGCAATTTATATTCAATAAACTGACGTGGCTTCTTGGGAAAATTGATTCGATGACAAAGGACTCGTTCTGGGTCTTCCTACAGATCATTAAAACATTAAATTAATCATAAAAAAAACTTTGATCATTTAATAATAATGATTTTGTTCTCAAATAAAATAAAATATTTTATTAAACTAAATAATAATAATAACATCAATATCAAATGACTTGAAATATGTTGAGCGTCAAGATAAAATAACTAATTTTGTTTTGTTATTTGAACAAATCTATAGAAAAAATCAACTTTTTAACAACAATAAATTAATCTAAACTAACTGATTTAAACAATAAATCAAAACTCATCTATACTAATATATAAATAAAATAATAAAAAAAATACCTTCAAATAGATTGTGATTTTTTTCTTTCTTTCCTTCTTCCTTCTTCCTTCTTCCTTCTTCCTTCTTCCTTCCTCCTTTTTCCTTCCTCCTTTTTCCTTCCTCCTTCTTCCTTCCTTCCTTCCTTCCTTCCTTTCCTTCCTTCTTCCTCCTTCCTTCTTCCTCCTTCCTTCTTCCTTCCTCCTTCTTCCTTCCTTCTTCTTTCTTCCTTCCTCCTTCCTCCTTCCTCCTTCCTTCCTTCCTTCCTTCCTTCTTCCTTCTTCCTTCTTCCTTCCTTCTTCCTTCTTCCTTCTTCCTTCTTCCTTCTTCCTTCTTCCTTCTTCCTTCCTCCTTCCTCCTTCTTCCTTCCTTCTTCCTTCCTTCTTCCTTCTTCTTCCTCCTCCTTCTTCCTTCTTCCTTCTCCTTCTCCTTCTTCTTCTTCCTTCTTCCTTCTTCCTTCCTTCTTCTTCTTCCTTCTTCCTTCTTCCTTTCCTTCTTCCTTCCTTCTTCCTTCCTTATCCTCTCCTTTCTCTTCTCTTCACTTCACTTGGGTTCCCACCCGCCCTATATATCTCAAAATTCATCACCCCATTTACACAATAATTGCACCATTATTAGGTACCAATAATGGCTATATTATTGCTGTCATTCTTCACGTGATTTGGCATGCATTTGCATGCATGAGGTGCATGCATTTGCATGCATGATGTACATGCAAAACAGGTTCACGGACAGCATCTGCTGGGAGCAGTAGGAGACGCAATGCTCTTCCAGTGTCACCCCCCTAAGTCGCACTGCCTGCAATGTTCGTGAACGTTCGTTTGTGTTCTCGAACGTGTTCATTTAACGTTCATGAACATATTCATTTAGTGTTCGTTTAATGTTTGTTTAGTATTCGTTTATCATTCATTTCTACGTTAAATTTTAGTTTTACCCTTTCAAGATAAAGAAAAATGGTAAAATTACGCAACTAGTGCTTAAACTCTCTAAAATTCACAGTTTAAATTTCAATTTTTATCATGTGTTCAATTTAGTCACTACAATCACCAATATTTAAAATGTACAAATAAGAAAAATCAAAACTGAGTAAATGAATTTATTCATGAACATAAATAAATGAATAGATAAACGAGCTCATAAACGAATCGATAAACAAGTTTATTTTATTTCTAATATCTAAGACTCTAATCCAACTCTAAAATCTAAATCTAAACCTTAGAATCTAATCACTTAACCCCTAAACCCTAAAATTGATTAATCTAAACCCTAAAATTGATGAATCTAAACCCTAAAATTGAATTCTATCGACAGAATTCAAACTCAACAGAGATACATTGAAATGCAAATTTATGAGGAATCTCCAAATTTCCGCGTTCACTTTCAATTTATCCATTCCAAGTCAATAATCAAGAGAAGATACCGATGTTGCCTGATTTAATTTTAATTACTTTATTTGAATAATAAAGGGGTAAACTACACGTTTAGTATCTAAACTATCAGTTTTAATCCGTTTTAGTGCCTAAACTTTAAATTTCTTTTAAAACTTAACGAAATTTTTAACAGGAATCCTAAAATAAAATAAAAACTAAATATTAACAATTATTTTAAAAGGATTAAAAGTTTAGATACTAAAACCGACCACATGTATTTTACCCATAATAAAATGGTATTGTCTTACAAATACCAACAATTCATAATCTTTAGATTGTGAAAAAATTAAAACAATTTTTGATTTCATGTTTTGAGTTGTTTCAATTTACAGTCAACTAATCACTTTCTCTTCTTATCTTCCTTTTCTCTCTGGCTTTGGATTTCAAGTACCACCGGAGCTGCTGGGATGCTGAACCACCACTCTCTCTGTCTCCTCATCCATCTTTCCGTGCTCGCCTTCCTCAGAGGCGAATATCTTGTAAACGTCTCCAAGAACACCGCCATGACCACGTATTTACTAGGCACCAACGCCAGACTCAACGCTGTAAGCACCAGCGCGGCTGCAAGCTTCTCGCTTGCCTGGTCATTGCCAGGATGTCAGCGCATGCAGCTCGGTTTAAAGACGAGGGATGCGTAAGAACAAAAAACAAACTAAAAGAGTATAACCTGTGGGAAAATCGAGAGCAGCAAGGCACGAAACTTAAGAAGAGCAATGTTTCCGTCCTGGATAACCTGTTCGGCTTGAGATATTGCATTCTGAACAGCCAAAAGCTGCTCCATTGTGGTCATAGGAGGAGGTGCTTTTACCTTGATTTCGGCCAATGGCCGGCCTTGGTTGCAAAATCTCGTAACCGCCATAAATATCGCAATAAGGAGTAGAGCCGATGCAAAGGTATAACCCACCCATCCCCTGAAATGGACAACAACCAGTTCCTATGATATGGAAACCTACCGAGATGTCGACATAACTACGTAGCCAACTCCTATGATTCGTGCCTTACCTGAAGATAATGTACGTGAAAATCGAACAGAACAGAAAAGACTTCAGATGATCATCCCAATATACCAGCGACAGAAGCAACTTCCCGAGTTCCATCACCGGAAGAAGTAACTCCTGCAAATTAAAAAAGAAAAGTACTATGAGATTATAGTATAGCTCCATTAACCAACACTGAATGATATATTTTCATGGCATCGTTACAAAACAAACGCATGCGTACAGTGTTTAGCCATTTACTTTGTCTCCCAACCACATTTAATTCGATAACCAATATTCCATAACGAAAAGGATCTTCTGTGATACCTTCATAACAGCTACATTGGTGTCGATACCATCTACTTTAACTCCATCAACTGTTTCTTGGGCTAGCACCACTTTTTTATAGTTTTCTCTAGACTCTTTAATCGCTCTCTCCATCAAACTAATCTCGCCCACAGCTAGTTCACCCACAAGCAATCCAGCCTCACTTGGATTATTTGAACTTGAACCAAACATAAAACCTAAGTTCGAGGCCATGGTCAAGGCTGAGATCGAGTACATGCCACCACTAGTTGCAACATTTTTACCCCGGTCTAATTCCCTTGAGCTTGACATATTTGCAAGAGTCTCCAGTACTAAATCTCCCCCGGGCAATTGGTCACAAAGGTTAAACACGAGAAGAGACTCGAAGCGAACAGAACTCGAGGAACTAATTTCCTGAACAGCTTGCACACGCAAAATTCCAAGAACGGCTTTAGAAAGTGCATCGTCCTTTTCAATTCCAATAATGTTGAACTTATTTATAAATCTATGAACATATAAAACTTCCCGGATTATTGCTAGCCAGTAATCACGCCGAGTGTGCCCTTTAAGTTCAGGAAACCCGATAATAGCTGGTTCTGATCTACGAGGGAAAATCAATACACAATCAGCAGATAAATTATATTTTCAGATGAGCTTTATGTTAAAACTAAAGCATTAAACACAAATCATAATTGATTCGACACTAAAAAATATAAAAAAAATCACAAGGACAGTTAAAAGAAAATAAATTAAATATGAACCGTGCCTTACAAGGAAATGGATTTGTATAAGACTGCCTTGTCAAAAAGTCGAGTACCCCATGGTCCAGTGAGCTCAGGTTTAACAATTTGTTTTAGATCATCTGATAAATCATATATTTTGGGTTTATCATAAGATACAACTCGAAGGGCTTCAAAGTACAATGCATGATCTGTCAGTATTAATCGACCTGAAGACATGCAAGAACAATCTCAGAACAAGCCAAATATTGCACCATGTGTTAATCGGCAATCAAAGCTATTTACGAAAACAAAAACGGAATGAAAGAAGGAATGGAAAAGGCATGATAGAAGTAATTAATTTCACCAATCGAAAAAGATATCATACAATAGTTTATTGAATAAAACTTTCGGTATTCATCAACTTGCCTGGCCATGTTGATATTCCGACATGTTCAAAAACCGGTTGAGTAGTAACTGTTCCATCCACCTCAAGTATATTTTCTCCTCTCGATGACCGAATGGCAGACAAAAGAGATGATTCTGATTGTCTCTTCATCTTTTTAATTGCTCTATAGAGATCAAATTTTAGAAAATTATATTTAGATATGCAGATTTGATAAACGAAGATACTTCCATAAATTACTAGACCTTTTATTTACTATGAACTTCTTCAGATTAACTTAAACTAAAACCCGATACAAGGAGTAATCAGCATTTAAATAGGCGGTAAATTTTACTAGGCTTCTGGTAAGAACTTTCAACATCAAGAATTTATCTTAGGATTCCTTTATTTGGCTATATAGCCTATTTGGTGATTAGTTGTTATCTAAACCTTCAAGGACAAGAACTAAATAGAGCACGGTTTTTTTATCTTTGACCAGAAAAGTTTTGCATTAGAAACACATTGGGGATCAAAACAGAACCAATAGAGCGACATGACAGTATATACGATATTGGCAATGCAAAGACTCGTACCTCTCTAGTCCATTTAGGTACTTGTCATAGACAGAGAAATGAAGCCGGCCACCTGTTGAGACGGTAAGAACCTCAAAAAGATTTTCACAAATAATCACATTGGCAATGATGGGAACCGCAGGAGCTATCCTAGAGAAAGCTTCCATCCCGACTGACAGATCATCATCTAACTGCAATCAAGACAAAATGATGACCATAAACTTTAGCATCAATTCTAGAGTTTAACGGACGATTAAAGGCCCTAAACCATTTTCCATGTACATGAGAATAGTTTGAATGTGCAAAATTATTAGACCATTTGGCATTCTCACACTATAATGTAGCATGCATTCATGGATTGAAAAGAAGAAATGCATAAAATATGAAACTTACATTAATTAAAGATTGACTGGAAGCTGTTGGGGATTCCCAGGCAACCATCATGTCGAAAGTAAGGCGTCGAAACTTTTTATCCGCTAGATGACCAATCACTTGAGCGGAGAGAGCAAGAGTCCTGAAACAGCAGAATTCCAAGAAGTTCCTCGCATACCATAACTTTTGCTTTATCGAATCGGATGCTTCAGCATTAAAGCTTTCCTGAAGCTCAATTGAAGTGGTTCCGAGGATTCTGCATCGTTTCATGTTTGTTAAGGAAACTACATATACCAGTAAAAAGGCAGGTTGCAATGTCCTTATTTGCATCCGGGTTGAACTAGAACTTAGGAGCACATAGAAAACTTATCAAACAAAATACTTTCGATTAATATAGAAGTTGCGGCAGAGGCAACCTACTTTGAGCATCTGCGCACGACGATATTCGCAAGGGGAGAGAGCTCGGGTATCCAATTGTTTCCAGCAGATGGAGACCTCTCCAGCTCCTCAAATTCCTCTGCAAAGGAGCTTCGCCTTCTAAGTAACCGATTTAATGATCCTTCACTTACCAAAGCCTCGAACATATTTCGTGTTCTGCTCGCAAATGCCATTTCTAACTTTCTCCCTCAATTCATGCCCACTGAAATGCAATCCATAAAAAAAGTTTAAACATCAGCACCAGAAATTTTAATACCGGCCATCATATAACGGTGAAGGTGTTGTCTGAAACCGTTATTTCACAGCAATAGCATCCGCTGTTACCGCAATCGCAATAAACGCAACACAACCGCAATTTAAATCCTTGATCAGGACTTCAACCATAAAAGTTGTACTTTTAGCAATCTTTTAAATGTATCCAATCGGCATTAACAAAATGATTCCTACGAACAAGCCAAGTAACACATTCTCCACCAACTTTAACAAGCAAGAAAAAAAACCAAAACACAAAACTACTCACACGATTGTAAACATTTGCTAACAGATTTCATAAGAAATCCAATTCAAGACTCATAATAATTACAACTTTTTTGAAAACCAATGTGTTGAACTCCATTAACGACCTTATCCCAAGTTCCCAACTACTTAAACTAACCAAAGAAACGAGAGAACAAAAAAGAAAACACTTACCACCACAAAGAAGAAAAATGTGAACTTTCAAGTCCTTCTAAAACCCTAAACTTGTGCACAAGCAAATATCAAGAGCCCCGTGTGAGATTAACTTGGTTGAACAAATCTCCACCAACCCATCTCTGGAAATAGCAAGATTCACAAGACTATGTCAAGAAACAAGAGCTCCAAAACAACTTGTTCTTGAAGAAAATTCATTATTCTTTGATGGGTCATAAAGAAATAATAGTGAAAAGGCGAGGGTTGTGAGATACAGTACACTGGAACAATGGGAAAGGAACTTTTTTTATTTAATTGCCTAAAGACAGAAGCATTCGGGCCACGGGGATTCGATGTGCTGGCAACGAGAACGCGGCTTGGCTTGCACTAATTTGATGCCAAATGTAAAAGAAGAGACATGCGGAGTTGGGCTAAAGTTTAGAGGGTAAATTACGCTTTTAGTACCTAAATTATTAATTTTAGTTCGTTTTAGTATTTAAAATTTTATTTCTTTTTTAAATCATATCTATCGTTTATCTATCGTTTAATTTTTGTTTCATTTAAGTACCTGTTAAAAACTTAATGTTAAATTTTTTTAAAAAAAATTAAAAGTTTAGATACTAAAACAGAAAAAAATTGATAGTTTAGTTTCTAAACGCATTAAATTTTACTAAAATGAAACAAAGACTAAACATTAGGTATGATTTTTTAAAAAAAAGACATAATTACAAAATTACCCCAACTTTTACAAAAATTGTCACTTTGCCCCATATCCTTCTTTAGAACAATTTAGCCCCAATATTTTGTTTTGGAGCAAAATATCACCATATGAAAATCGTTAGTTGACTAACGTTTTATATTTTCGAGTTCAATTAACCGGAAACCCGACTTGATCCGACCTCCATCCCTAACCAAAACGCACAAAACTTTTCTCCGCTATTTTCACATTTGTTTGATAATTTTCAATCTGCAGACAATGGGGATGGCAGTAATGCTTGATGAGATCATCAATTATGTGCAGTCCTTGCAGAATCAAGTCGAGGTGAGTTTGTAGGGATCAATCGAACGAGGGCAGGTGAGACAGTCGTTCTTGAAAATTTAAAAATATTATATATTTTAGATTTTTTTATGTATTTTCTTTTGAAAATATATTTTCGTCTCTTTGAATTTTATAGGTTCATCCCCTCTTAAAATTATACGTCTGTTCCTTTGAGTTTATATGTATTAGGGATGGGCATAGGATCTGAACCCGACGGGTTCCGACCCGACCCAATCGGGTTGCGCTTTTTTAAAATTTCGATTCGGGTCGGGTCGGCTTTTTAAAGTTGATGTTTGGGTCGGATCATATTAGGGTTTAAGGTGAAAAATACATGACCCAAAATTTTTTTTACCTTATATATTTAGGAATAATTACAATAATACTCCTCTATATGTTATTTTTTTCAATTAAGTTGTTGTTTTTATTGAATAAAAATATTATTTTTTATTATTTAGGGTCGGGTCGGATTAGGTTCGGATTTTATCTCAAAAAATCGTGTTGGTTCGGGTCGGGTTGAGGGTATATATTTTTCGGGTCGGATCGAATCAGATTAAGGATGTAAAATTTTTGGGCCGGGTTGGCCGAAACCCAACCCAAACCCGACCCATGCTCATCCCTAATATGTATGCATGGTTATATGATGGGAAAGATTTAGCACAAATTTATTGAACTAGTTTAGATTTGGTTTATGTCACAGTTTCTTTCAATGAAGCAAACGGCAGCCAGCACAGATTGTGACTTGAACTCAGAGCTAGATGCCTTGGAAAGATATGGTGGAGTTGGCTTCCATTCAACATTGCCATGGACATACTTTTTATGTTAAGGGAGTGAATTTGAATTTTTAAAATTTCAGGAGGCGAACTTAAACTTATAAAATTCCAAGGGGACAAAAACATATTTTCAATAGAAAATACATTAAAAAAACTAAAATATATAATGATTTTAAAATTTTCGAAAGACAACTGTCTCACCTATCCCTCGATCCATCCCTTATTAGAGCACACAATGAAAATGCTCTACTTGTCGACACTTGAAGAAAATGTACCCCGCTAACTCATGATGATTAGAATGAGTGAAAGCTTATGCTGTGACATCCTTTAGAAAGTTGCGACCGTTGATAGACCCACGAGACCTATCAAATTTAAATTTATTGTCATCCGATCATATTCATCTGATATGTTAACCTACGAGTAGCCATAACGAATCTATGTCTGACATCATCAATAAGTCATTATAAAATCTCTCATCAAGATCGAGAGAAGTTTATGAAGCTTTTCTCTTCATTTATCACTAGGTGGAAGACATTGACATCAACCAACAACCGTTTCACAATTAGTTACGATTTTTCATCCAAATCAAAAGAAGAGAACTATCTATAGTAATTCTGACCCATTTGTACCCCCATCAACAAGCAATACCATGCAAAACTTAATCAAAGTGATGAGACTCGAATGTTTTGCGGATAAACTTTGAGACACTGAGCTTAAAATGGATAAGAAGTTTGGTTATATCAGTTCCTTTCTAAATAGACTTTCACTTGCACTAAAGACACTAGTTTAATGACAAACTTCATATGTTGATTGATTAAGAAATGATACGTAAAGGCCTACAAATGAACCCGAATTGCGTAAATCATATTTTCAATCTTGATTTCCACCTTTTCGTCAATTTTCTTCTCATGATTTTTCATGATCAATATTGTAACCTTCTCACAGTCGCCCGAGTGATCTGCATTTTCTCCCAAAACATCGAATGATTCCCATAACTCCGCCACCCTCTTGAGCGTTGTGTGGTTCCAGGCTTCCAGCAGTGTAACGGCATCCCTGACCCCTCAATCCACGTCGCTCTATCTGCCCTCTACAAAGATTCCGTCCATGGTTCAATATCTATGAACACCTCCTTAAGGTTGGCCCAATTGAGGTCTTCAAGCAACATGAATAGTTCATCATCGTCAAAGCTGAGTAAATATTTCTTCCCTCCAAGCCTCTGTACTTTGATGCCCTTCATCCCTCACTTATTCAATCTAATGTTGATTTCATTGACATTGCATATTGTGGCCATCTCACCCACAAGGCATTCTTTTAATGGCTAGAGTTCATCTTGCTCAACATGACCTTGAATTCTTTTTGTAGCCAGTGTCTCTCTTTCCACATTTAGCCGAGGGCCAATCCGAACATTAACTGTGTTATTGCTCGGCTGATACTTATTGCTTGTATTTTCTGCTTGATTCCCACTGGTTTTAAGTTCATGACTTCCTCATCTCGTATTACCTCTGAACTTAGCAAAAGATACCAGCAGTCTATGCCCAAACAACGGGAAGCTACTAAGTCTCTCAATGGCTCGTAGAGCGTCCTCTCTTTTCTCAAACCTAACAAAACCAAACCTCTTTCCTCCTCTACTTAACTTTCTCGCAATCTACGCGTCAGCTACCTTCCATGCCTATTGAACGCGAACCATAACCCTTTCTAATGCAAAGTCTTCGATATGTTTTCCACAAACAATGTTACGAGCCTTTTCCTTTCTATCGCTTCAAGTTCTCCTTCTTGTTGTCTGTGCGTTTGCTCCATTATTATAAAAATTGATATTTGCTTTTGACCTAAAAATATCGTTACCGATCTTCTTGCATGCATGCTTCTATATATTTGTTCTAAGCATGCAACCCTAACAACTAAGGGGAGGTTGTCTTATTGAATCCCATTACTATATTAAATCTTCTTGCATGCATACTTCTATATATTTGTTCTAAGCATGCAACCCTAACAACTAAGGGGAGGTTGTCTTATTCAATCCCACTACTATATTAAATCTTCTTGCATGCATGCTTCTATATATTTGTTCTAAGCATGCAACCCTAAAAACTAAGGGGAGGTTGTCTTATTCAATCCCACTTTATAACTTCTTTTATTTTACCACATACTCTCTTTATATCCTAGTATCCTTAAAACATTCATAAGCAATAATTCAATCATTAAGTCGTCAATTCAATCCATGTGTAGACGAGATTACATATCAATATATTACTTTTTTACGTGTATACTTATCACTACAGCAAAATAATTTTTTCACAGCGTTTTTAGCGGCATTTTAAGAGCAAATGCTGTTAAATTTAAACATAACGTGGCGTTTATGGGTAAAGCATTATAAAAATAAAAAATATTAGCGGCGTTTATGGGCAAATGTTGTTTACCTATATCGGTAATTACCGTTGCGAATTTGAAAATCGCGTTGCGATATTACTGTTTACCTATATCGGTAATTAGCGTTGCGAATTTGAAAATCTCGTTGCGAATTTGAAAATCGCATTGCGATAGTACTGTTTACCTATATCGGTAATTAGTGTTGCGAATTGCGTTGCGATTTTGGAACATGTGTTGCAAAATTGGAGTTCGCGTTGCGAATTTGTTGGTCATTTTCGCAAATCCAAAAAAAATTGGTTAAAATCGTATATTATAAGGCATTTTCGGTCACTGAAGTTATTTTCTCTATTAAGAAATAACAATGTTTTTTATTAATTACACCAAACATCCCAAATTATTACCCAGGTTCTAAATTGGTCTTTAAACTTCAAAACGTGTTATTTGGATCTTCAAAGTATCAATAACTTCTTTTTATTTTATATTTCAAGGTAGTTGATTGGTAGTATTTTGTCAAATTCAATTAAGCATGCTCCATGGACTATTATTCTCCAGGTATATGTATACTGATTATGAAAATGACTTTGATAATTTCACATATGGCTATTGTGTCCAGCAAATTATCAGCCATTAATTAAAATTTTCTGTTTTAAATAGTGATTAAAGATGCATGTAACATGTTTTCGATTCACTTGTGTTTGAAGAAGAAAACTAAAAATATATTTCAAATATCTCCAGAGTGTCTTCGATTTCTAATATTGTTATTTGTTTATTGTAGATAGTATGTATAGGAGGAAATTGAGTGATCTGCGGATTGTTCGAGCTCCTCAAGGGGAGAAAGAACCAAATAATGAAGAATCGATTGGTGGTGAATCTTCGGAAGTTCCGAATACAATTGAAGAAACTGTAGAAGTTAAAGGTAATGTTTGATACTATATTTAACTGGTGGTTTATTTTTTTATTGACTTGATTTTAAAAACTTAAACTGAATTATTTCTTATGTAGTTGAAAATGGTCAAAAACACAAGACTAGAGGTCACACGATAATGATGGAATTATACGACCTTCCTACTAGAGACCGTGTCAAAGTTACAAGTAATGATGTCGGTCAACCAATTGGAACAGAAGCACGTGTTCTGGCTGGTTACTTAGGCGTGATTGCGCGCAATATTAATCTTCTACCGATCAATTTCAGTCATGACATGAGATGTCGAATAGTAACAAAAATCAAGTTGTGGATTGTATTAAGGTAATAATTTCATTGTAATATATAGTTCATTACAAACGCCACTAAATGTCTGAAGCTATTAAGGCGTTTTTTATTTACAAACGCCGCTAATGTTTGCGGCGTTAGTTTTAACGGCGTTTCTTGCGGCGTATTTATATATCCTGGGAAAATTTTTTGCGGTGCCTAAAAATACTGCTGTAGGACTAAAAAACGCCGATATTGCCCCATTCTATAAAACTATACATCTTATTTATACGTAACAAGTTTTTGATATTATTGCATGGGATTGACAATTGGTAACCATTTGGTTTTATTATTGTCTTTTCTTTTAAGTTCATTTGATTCATTTATTTTTATTTTTGTAGGTTTGCTATTATTTGTATGCATGGAGGCACATATGTAGCAGAAGAGCATCCCTTTGTACCAAAAATCGAAACAACCATTCAAATAACGAGACAAGAGATGATAGTCGGTGTATTGACCGATCGTGACGAGCGATGACCGAAACTCGAGTTAAAAAATTAACCCCCAAAAAAGAAAATGAAAGCCAACATAGCATTAAGGTAACAAAAATATAAAGCCCAAATCAAGCGATCTTGGTGGTTAAGGAATTGTTGTTATTCCTTGAGATATCGGATTCGAACATCACTCATGTAGGAGTATAAGCGTTTAATTCAATGTTAAATGATTTCGTATTCACCCTAGCTAATATCTTGCTAATGAACTTCAGTGTGAATATGCTGACTTCTAAGTTGTAGCTAAATTAAAGTAAGATCGACATGGATGTCTTAACTAAAGATGTTTCTGAATCTGTCCAAAACAAAACATGTACTTGGATAGAAATTGTGGTTCAAATGGAGAGTGTGTTTTGTATAAAAGAAGAAGCAGTGAAGTGAAGTGCCACTAGCTTAGCTGTTTACTATCAGGCTAAACTACACATTTAGTATTTAAACTATCAGTTTTAGTCTGTTTTAATATCTAAACTTTTTAAAAAAAAATTCAAAATCATATCTAACCTTTAGTTTTCATTTCATTTTAGTACCCGCCGTTGAAATTTAACACGTTTACTACCTAACCTATCTTTTTTTGTTCATTTTAGTAGCTAAAGTTTCCATTTTTTCAACACTAAACGTTAAATTTTGAACGGAAGTATTAAAATGAAACAAAAACTAAAGTTTTTAACGATGATGTACTGAAATGAAACAAAAACTAAATTTCGGGTATAATTTTAAAAAGTTGAAAGTTTAGGTACTAAAATGAACAAAAACTGATAGTTTAAGTATTAAATATGTAATTTATCCTACTTATAATTGTTATAGTCTAGACCATGCATCCAATCCAACTAATTAGTGTGCTACCATGTTTTTGAACCATTTTTTTTTATCAAAAAACGAACACAATATTTTAGGTTAAAGAATAAATTTATAAAATTTTAACAATAAAAATATTTTTATTTATAGAAAATACAAGAAATATCTAAATTATATAAGATTTTATATTTTTTAGAGAAAGAGATCTTTCTCGCCAACTCCCTTGGTCCATCCTCTGCACAATACTTTTTAAAAATATTATTTTAAAAATTCTAAACGTAACACGTATTACTTAACGATTTTTTTAATGGTAAGCACTTGTAGAAAAAACTTTAAACACTTATTTTAACAAAAAAATCTTTTTAAACTCCAAAAATCAATTTTAAATATAATTTAGACATTTATTTTTTAAAAATGAGCGTTTCATCTGTTATATAAATTGATTATTTTACATTTAAAAGTAAAAAATTCAAGGGTTATTGATATGTATGGTATATCCCGCTGTACAAATTGATAAATGAAGTTACCAAGTACATGAGGTGAATAAAATCAATATCTCTAGATTCTTATTAAAATATTGTCTCGGCACGGATATTTATAAACTATTTCGATGGTTAAGAGGATAAAAATTTTGAATTTGAATATGAATTACTGCATAATATTTAAACATTTTTTGTCAAATAATTGAGAGTTTTTTAGAATATATACTACCACTTATAATCACCCAATAATAAAACAAAATCAAAATAATTAAGATCCATATAATTTTGAGTTTTTAAATTCAAATCATGCAATTTAAAGACTTTAAATTTTATTAATATATAGATATAGATAGTGAATTGGTATTCAACTTATGATGGGAACCAACTTCTCAATTTAATTTTTGGATAAATTACGGATTTAATATATAAACTATCAATTTTGATTTGTTTTTATATCTAAACTTTCAATTTCCTTCAAAATCATGCCTAAAGTTTAGGTTTTATTTCATTTTAACACCTCGCCGTTAAAAACTTAACGCATTTAATACATAAACTATCAATTTTGATCCGTATTAGTATCTAAACTTTCAATTTTTCAAAACTCAATGTTAAATTTTGAACAAGTACTAAAATAAAACAAAAACTAAAGCTTTTAACAACGAAATACTAAAATGAAACAAAAACTAAATTTAAGCATGATTTTAAAAAATTGAAAGTTTATAAATTGAAACAGACCAAACTTAACACCTAGAGACACAACTAGGATCAGACACTAAGAGGGACATGAATCTACTAAATATTTAAATAAAAAAATTAAAAGAGAAAAAGAAAACTCATCATGTTATGTTAAGAGAAGTAGAAAGGATTCGAGAAGAAGAAATTTAGAATTAGGGATTACAGAAAAGAGATACTTCATTCATTACTTGAGAAATCAATTCCTCCCGACCATTGTTTTATTTAGTTACAGGGCTAAAATTGTAATTTTAAATGTGCCAACTGTCAGTACTATATAACAACTATAACTAACATATATTCTCTTCTCTCCTCAGGTCCTGGCCACCGAACTTGGCTAATTCTTCTCTTGTTGGACTGCAAATTTGGACGGCCCAACTCCCTCTTGACCCAAGCATTCAATCTACTCCAAATCAGAAGGTAAATACATCGTTCCCTCTTCTTTGACTTTAATCCCTAATTCCCCAATTTCAAACCCTCCTCTTCCCTCGATCCTCAATTCTCCAACAACAATCCCTAACCCTTGACATCCACTTATCCCAATTTCTTCATCATTTCCCCCAATTTCTTCTTCATTTCCACGCTCTTCTCCTCCTACTGTAACATATCACTAAATCAACTTGTCTGAAAATGGATAAAATATAAAATTTTACGTGAAATTACACTAATTTAATTCGATCAGTGATCAAAGTAACCATTTGAGCACGTTTGAACACCCTAACAACAACCGCCCAATTCCTGCCGATCAAATTAACCATTTGAACACCCCTGACTTGAACACCCCTAACTGCTACCATCCAACTCCTTGTATGACTTCAGTTATAACGGTACAAATTATTTTTCTATCAAAATGTATATAACTATCACAATATTAAATTACGGCCGCATCGCATTGTAACAACCACATCATAATGTTTTTCAAGATCACCGTGACACCGCAAACCGTAACATAAAACATAGTTATTTTTAGGGGGAAATCACGCCGTAGCGTCCGCAACACCCGCAATCGCAACGCGACAACTGCAACCGCAATTTAGTACTATGATAACTATATATTTCCAAACAAATGAAAATATAACACTTCTCAAAGATCATATTTTCAAAAGAACAGTAAAGAAAAGCTGTCAAGGCCATGCACTATCATCAACTCACAGTTGAAAGTTAAAACATCCCTGATGATGAAATGTATCCGAAATATAACTTGTTAACTAAGATACGATATAAAAGGTACGATAATAAAATCTCAAATTTTCAACACCCTATATTTCATCTTAGATAAAAATGACCTGTAAGGATATGATACAATAATTGTTTTCTTCCCCACCTCCACCACAATGGTGGTTCAACCCGTCTCTTTTTAACTTCTTTTCCTGCAAACAAAGGTCAAAATAGAAGGGTCGGTAAAGGAGAAAACTAAGAAACCGTTCTTAACGCTGAATGGTAAGAATAACGCAGGCACACACGGATGAAACCACTTGGATTAGTTATCTCTTTCTTCGAGCAAGTCAATAGAAAATAAATGAACGATATTAAAACCTAGATCACAACAGAAGTTTGCAAATAGACCCTTACTTTGGTTATCTGTACAATGCATCCCCCATTGTGCCTGCAATTTTTCGAAACTTGAACTGAGAGTAGACCAGTACTTCATCTGAATCTTCAGGACTTTCAACATTGTAAGCAGTCCAGCTTTAGAAGGAGCAATATTCTCCGGTTCACACTCAGAACTTTCACCTAAGAGTACCTATTTTTTGGAACAAAAAATGAATCCATGTCAGAACATGCCTTACGCAACTTGGGTTTTTACTCGAGTGATAAAGTGCAGGGTGGAATCGGGTAGAGACCCTAAATTTTAGCCATAATTCTCCCCCTTGCACCGGAAAAAGAAATTGGATTACAAGTTAACATAAAATGCAGGACGATATCAATGCATACATAGATATGGATGACTATATACATCACTAGATTAACACATGCATGTATATATATAAAAGCAATTATGCCATGTCCTAGTAATTTGTGTGTTAACCTTGACCACTGCAGTAGCAGAGGATGATATCGAACGGAGGTTGTAGCTGCCAAAAGTTAAAAAAACAGTCAGAATGAAAATCTGAGTCAAATTATAATCTTGACAACCAAATATCAAAGAGAAATCACAAACCCGCCCTCAAGTATAACAAGCAGCTTTCCACCACAAAGGGTACTCAACATGTGTGTCATCTGTGCATAACCAGCAGGAGTCACCTGCAATGACAAAAATACCGTCATTATGAAGTTCACTCAAAGGACAAATAATATATATTTTTTACAATTTAGAAGTGATGAATACTTGAATCATAACATTTTAAGCTCCATTTGATGATTTAATAACATTTAAGTGATGAATTTCAAATAAATACAAGCGACAGAGGAATAGCATAACCAAAAGGGCCTAGTTGTATGAGCAGAGATGACTTTTAAAAGTAGGCAATCATATGTTTTATAAAAATATACCATTGACGCTTTCTGAAAAGTTCCGTTTTCTAGGGTAAATTACAATATGAAAACACACTTTATAAATTATCAGAAGTGAACTCACATTACAACCTCCTAGAGGATCCCCACAAGCAGCATCAAATCCTGCTGATATGATGGTAAAATCAGGAGCAAACTCGGAAGCTGCAATCGTGTGTTTGAAAAACCATTAATCAGATTAAAGCAATAAAATTGGTTGCAGGTATCAAGATTAAGAGAGCAATTCTAACATTCTACCAACAGATCGTGGCCATCGACCAAGAATGCTTGCATGCAAATAATCAGACGTAGAATGAAGCCAAAGATTTGCACTTAAATAAAGTCAATCAACAATCTATAGTAAGAAACTTGTAGAAACTACACTATACCGTACAGAATATAATCCTTCATGCTTTAGCGCAAATTAATCTTGGAAAAATTTAGGACACTTCTTTAATTTAACATTTGAAAGAGGTAAAAAAACAAGATATGCTAAAGACCAGAAGAGACCAGCGTCAATAATACATTATATAATATGAAACTATAAACAGAAAAGTCAATGATGTTGATCAACACTGGCAGACATTAAAGAAAGACCGTTAACAATTGTGTTAAGATAACATGATGAACTGCATCTTCGAGGTAGTTAATGCTCTCAAAATTTTGTCATGCTGTCCAATACAAATCTTCCACATAACATTTGAAAGCAAAAAACAAGGGGAAATAACAACCTATAGGAAGCACAACATGTTGAAATGCAAAAATATAATCATTATCTCCAACTCCTCCACAACTCCATGGAATATTCACACAATATCCTTCTGCACCCTTGCTACCAATCTACAGAATTAAATTCAAAAAATGAAATTGAAAAGGAGCACTAGTTACAGCCCAAGATACAGAAGATGAATAAACCATATCAAACTCGGACCTTAAACATTCAAACAGATTTGACAAGATACATATGACCAGGTGCGGGAAAAGAGACTCAGGGACAAATGGATAGAATGGTAGTGACCATGCATTAATGCAATCAATGCACGTTTACATTTTGAGTCAAATTCCCGAAGAAGAATGAATTAGGCAGGCAAACTTTAACAAATTGTTCTCTGAAATATATCCGGAGACAAGCATCATTACTGCAGAACAAATAACTAGAAGCAACAAGGTTACTAGGAAGAGATAGACGTAGGAAAGGTAACTCAGCATAGTAATTGGATTTCTGGAAATCATTCTTGTTCTAGGAGTTCATATAATCTACACCTATAAAAGCATGAATATGTCCTTTAACTTGAATCCATTAGGCTGATATCTAAAACGAAAAAACGATGCGACTTTCTTAGTTTCCATGCAGTTGCTCAGGCAGCTTAGTGACCTCTCCTAACTCCACTAATAGCTAGGCAGCAGGCTATTTCATTTCAATATGTATCGCCAGCTTAGGAAAGGTGAGCCTATGATAGCATAGCAAAATCAAGAAAAAGAATATTTTATAACTTTACTGAAAACCATATGTAATATCTATTTGCTAGCAGCATGACCATAACCTACCATCCATTCCATTATGTTCCAAAAGCACCTGAGGCAGATACAAATACTACAGTACCAAAAGGGTCAATTCCATCAAATTTGGACAAACTTCAAATATTCCCAAATATTATTTAGACAAATTCAATAATTGAAACAAACAAAGATCCGTGAATCTGACATAAATTACAAACATTAACGCCAAAATCACATCAAACGGACACCAAGAGTCCCAAAGGGACCATAAGCAGTCAATATTACAATGAAAATGCATCTTTGTTACTGTTAATATCCTTTTCTTCTTTTGTCCGAGAAAATTCCAAATCTATGTGCACCAAGGAAAGCCTCAGAGCTAAGAGCAAAATTTTCAAAAAATAATAAATAATCAAGCACCTCAAAAGCTGCTCCAGTACCAGGATAGAACTTCCCTCCTTCATGTCTATGCAAGGATATGTACAATACCTACAAAAAGGTACAAGATATGTGCAGTTATATCAAATTCAAAAGAAAATTTGTGGAAACTATTCCATAAAACTCACCGATTTATTCTGATCAAATATCTCTTGGGTACCATTTCCATGATGAACATCCTGCAATAATCGCCAGAGAACTGGTAGCTTAAAATTTTGATGCACTACACATCATTTCGCAAAAATTTCCAAACCATCCAAATCTCCCTCAACAAAGAAGTTGAGCATCGAGAGAATGAGAAATTACCCAATCAATGATGAGCACCTTCTTCGCCCCAGCAACCTGAGCTGCTAGTGCAGCAACTGCTGCATTGTTGTGTAGGCAGAATCCCATTGCTTGCGTGACACCAGCATGATGGCCAGGAGGTCGAACCTACCATAAGTAGTAATATACGGGTACCAACAGATAAGTAGACACTAAGTATTGTATGTCCAGTATCACTATCAGGTCAGTCATAAATCTTATGAGTACTGAAAAGAATATCAAAATTCATACAAACCAGTGCAAACCCATTTCTCATATGTCCAGAAAATATTGCTGAAGCAAGGTCAGTACACAAACCAGCTGCAAGTCTAGCAGCCCGTGCTGAATGCTCATTAGCATAAGTATCAGGAGTAAAGTAACTGTCAGGAAAAGAAAAAACCCATCAACGCAGATTCATTTTCATCTTAACATCAATCGGGAAAAATAGGCAGAGTCTGATTATGAAAGAACCAACCTTGAATTTTTTTTTTTGATAGGAATAGGAGGTCTCATTAAAAACCTCCCTCTTAGAGGATCTTACCCATAAGGTAAGACCCAACTAGCGGAAGGAGGAAAAGAGTACCTCAATTTATTAATGAAAGCCAAGTTACATAAGACTTAAAAACACTTTTACAAACAACATAAGACTTCACACACTCCTCTAGCTTCTAAGCTCAGAAACAGACACCAACTGAAACAGACACCAACAGACACCAACCTTGAATCAAGGTTACAAAGGTAAAACTGAAGATATTTGTGTATGCAACAGAACAAACAAATGAAGTGATGCCAATTTTTATGATTCTACTGATCAATGATCATCTTCGAACACAAAAAATCATTACATTTTATTTTCAAAATGTGGTACAAAATCAATCTATAACAGGGACAAAATGTGCATAGGCATAATAGTAGAACATGGATATAAACACATCACAACTTGCAATAACCTAATAGAATGAAACAATTGAGATTACTAAATGGCATTCCTAGATAACAAAAAAGAACACCCATAGAGAAAATTTTCCTTTTCCCTTTCCTATCAAAACTGACCAGAAAAATAGAAATTCCTCCCTTGAAAACCTCATACTTCCACCAATTATGATGTGATAACTCATCTCCCACCCAACAAAAGAGAAAATACTTTCCTAGCAACATATGTTGACAGCAATTTCACTCCACCCACTCCTCAAGCATGTGCTCTCCAACCACACCATAAACAGAAAGATTATTGATGAACACTAAAGAAAAAGAAGCTCTTCCTTTTCTTTTTTATTCTTTTCCAAAAGACAAGAAAAGGCACTCCAAAAGTGAAAACTACACACATGCATACACATTTGACTAGAAAAGGATAAATAGATACCTAGAAAGAATTTGACTTGTAAACTCAACAGCTTCAATATGCGCCAAGGAATGGACCTAAGGATTTGAAAACATAAAGTAACAAAGCATAGAGATCACAAAATAACCTAAGAAACAACATTTCAATAATAATTTTAAACAAGGCAGGAAGCGAATTGGAAAAGAAAATGATTAAGTTTATCCCTGATAAAGTAAAATGATAGAAGTGATAGGCCATATGCCTCCAATAAATGAATAGTCCTTACCTTTTGAAGCTCCTCCTTAGTGATTTCCCTAGCAGGAATTGGACAGCACTTTCCAGGAAATATACCTGCCCAGGTAAAAGGTAACGTGTTATGCCAGATTGTGATTGATGGTTCAGCTCATGAAAAGCGGGCTGAAACCTTTTTCAGCTCATCAAAGGTAGATAGAAACCTTTGGACTCATTAGAGAGACCCAGATTTGTTTGGGGTTTTTGATAGAAATGCTGCTTAGGTTTTATTATTACAAAAGTCCCTTTAAATAAGGACTAGCCATATTACATAAATAGGAAATCTGTTCTAGAAAGGAAATAATGGAAATAATCAATTAAAATAAAAACACAACAAAACCCAAGAAATAAAATCACAACCTAAGCCTATAATTAGAGAATCAAAATTAATGGTCTTTCCTAACATAGTTTTGGGCCATACCATTACTCCCATCTCGGAGAAAGGGATTGTCCTCAAGCTCAAAGTCAGTATAAACTTGCCAAAAGGTCTTTCCCAATCCTAATAGTAGAAACCAATAGGGGTTTTGGACTCATTTATCTGGACCAGTGAATAAATATCTTCAAACTTCTCACCAGCAATCAATATTTTCAAAAATAACCCGAAAATTTAGATCCATTAAACTGTTCCTCTATGGAGTTGAAGGTTCTTTGGTTCGGGTTAGAAAAAAAAGGGTTGGTTGTTGGATATGAGTTTAGATGGGGTTAATGAATAAGACAAGGAATTGAAGTTGGTTGTGACTACCGCGGTTTTTGTTGAGATGCACAGAGGCTGCAATGGTCTGGTTTTGTTCAATTAGGTTTACCTTTGTCTCTACTATCTACCATTGAGTTACTACCCTATTTACCAACAATTATTTTATCCATTCCTTTACACATTTGACCAAACAGTTGGGTTTTGGTTTCAACAATAATTTCATCAACATGCAATAACGTATGATCAAGCATTTCTTCTATCTTTATTTGCAATGCCAGTGCTTCCTGAGTATTTCTGCTTGCCGCTCAGTTGACCATTGTTCTGTCATTGCCAAGGATCATTGGATCTTGATACCAAATTGTCATTCATAGTTTAGCTCATCACAGGGTTACTGAAACCTTAGGACTCATTAGAGAGAGACTCGTACTTCTTTTAAGGTTTTTCTATAAAAATTCTGATTAGGTTTCATTATTACAGACATCAAGGACCAGTCTAATTAAATAAAAGGAAAAGCTGTCCTAGAAAAGAAATAAATCAACTAAAGTAAAAACACAAATGAAGACCTACGGAAAGAAATAAAATCAGATCTCGGCCCGAATTAGAAATCAAAATGAATGCCCTTTCCAAATGTTACTGATTTATAGGCTAAATCTTAGGTATTCGAAGACTAATTAAAATAGAATACTATGTTACCTAGTATAGGGGCTCTACACTTGTAAATATATTATATACCCATACAATTGATGTAAGTAATACAAGAGAATTTATTCTCTATTTTTTTAAGTGTACACCTAACATAGATTAGGTCCATAACATAACATTTGTTTGTCAACTTGGTAATTCTAAGAATAGGACATGGTGCTAATGAAGGTCCAGAAGACCAATTAAAATCCAGAATATTAAATCCAACACAAGAAGCAAAGCATATGGAGAACATACCAGCAGCAGCAAGGCTAGCAGCAATAGCTCGGAGACGATCTGGTCTTTCTAGATGCAGATGAGACTTCTTTTCAACCTATGTGACCAAGCAAGAAGCAAATATCGAGTGAAAGAGTTGGATAAAAATCACAAGAGTGAAAAACATGAGCAGAAATCACAGACTCGTCAAATAGATAATTTTACAGAATAAATAAATTCATTACTTGCATATTACTGCCAGCAAAGTGAATTACAACCTATGAGATAATTGTTACCATGTTTGATGAAGGATAGCAGTACAATAGATCCCAATACCCAAGGGAGAAAAAAGAGAAGAAAATAAAGAAAAAGGTTGCAAGCATACCCAGATTGACAACAAAAAAATAAAATTATTTTTAGGAGAGAAAAATTGTAAGCCAACCAAGATGGAGAGATTACATGTAAATTAGAAAACTTCCATCACTGATACATATATACACATATACAATTTCTAAACATTGATATTGGTTTGGGAGGATGTATAACTGCCATAAGAACCTCATGAAAGTGGAAAATTTTAGCATGGCAATAGAATAGCAGAGACATACCTCTGAGTGCAGTAACATTTTCTCATCAAAACCAACAGCTGTAAGACGGTTGGAACTTGAAGCCTCTAACTCCAGATCTGCATCAACAAGCACAAATAAATTAAGGTCACAAATCACAATTCTCATAAGCATAATAACAGCCCTCCCATCCCTACCGAGGGAAACATTACAAGTTTCAGATGGTAAAGGAATGGAATAATTAGAAAGAAACACGATCTATAAAGCTCAAAATATGACCAAAACGAGGATATATTGAGCTGGGAATCTCAAGATGTTAAAAACTGTCCATTTCATTAGAACACAAATAGAAAACAACCATAACAAATAATCCACATGCTTCAAATTTCAGGAGTTTCTGAGTTTGGAATCATATCAGAGAGTTTTCACTTAAGAAACACACATTGTAATAGGACTTACTTCTTTCTTGCAAAGATCACTTAATACGATTACAATTCAGAAAGTTTTCTCGAAGGCTAGGATCTCCCTAGACATTGGTTTCACCTAAAGAAAATTTTTGAAGTCTTATGGGTTCTTGCTAGGGCAGCTTATATAGAGAGGCAAATGCAGTCCAGGAATCAGTTGAAAAACAGAATAGATAAGTAAATTCTACATAAATACCTAAACTTAGTGTAGCTCTGAACATTTTACCAGTTAAAAGATAACAAGTCAGTGCGCCTAGGCTCCAGAGTACCTTTGCGCCTCAGTGCGCCTAGCACCTTTTAAAACCAAGGATTCAAGAAATCAACTCTAAAAGTATTTTTGTTGGAAATTGTTTATCAATTTCAGAACTGAAATACAGTTACTGGTTTGAACTTTGATAAAAGAATATCAAAATGAAGGAAAAGAAAGCATAGCCAGGTTAGGCATTTCAATGACCATTTGGCCAGAAGAAAACGAAGGGCAGCATAGAAAAATAATTGAATAAACCTAGCAGAAAGTTACATACATTCACCTTTGTCTATTTGTCTGGGTTCTGATTTAACCTGAATAAGGTTTACTTCTGGTGAACAAGGAGAGGCATAAAATCCATGCCTTAGAATACCAGATGCTTTATGTTCCCCGCATATCTGCATAGATGAAATTGTTAAATCATCTAGAGCCAGAAATGTTACCTTAAGTAATAGTAAAGTAGATTCTAAAATCATCTCAAAAGGTCATGAAAACAAAGCATGTCAAAAAGGGGTGTGAGGAATAATAATAATATCAAGAAAAGAAAAATTAAATAAGCATACATCACAATGGACAACATCATCAATGTTGACCATCGTGCAGTTGGTACAAAACCACTTCATAATGTCTATGCTCTTTTGAACAGGCTCCCAGTCACTGTCATCCTCGTCGTCGTCATCAAATGCATCTTGGTTGTATATATCCTGAATTGTCAATTCTTCTGGCAGCCTTGCTTTTTTCTGAAGACAAACCAAAATAGCAAATGCGAAAACTTATAAAGTGATCATTTGTTTTTTGAACCAGCATTCCATAACAACTATATTCCTTAAAATTATAGAAGTTCCTTATATGCGCTGCTTACAGAGACTCCATCAGGTTGTCTGTCATCATTTATATTTGCAAACATATCTCTTCCAGATGTTCCTATATCCCCTACGTCAACAGATACAACATCACAGTAACAAGCTGTGATGTTCTCATCGGATACCAAATGTTTTCTTTTAAGGGCTGGACTGTTCTTAGCCTCTCCATTCATCGCGCAACTCGCTTGAACTGTTTCAGAAGCCATTTTGTTTTAACAGTTCTGGTGGAGATTTTCAGCCACAATCATTGGTTTATTTGAACCTGGAATATCTGCAAGCATTAGGAGAACAAAAGTCTATAACGAACACTGAGAAAATCAGACATCAAAAGACTGCAGAACTACGAAACCTGAAAGCTAGAAGTAAATGTTGGGGTTATTTACTTTGTTTTCAAACATTTGAAGAACTAAACAGGAGAAAAATAAATGAAGACATCATTTTTCAATGATATCATGCAGATGGAAAGCAAACAATTAAATCAACATTCTTTTTTTTTCACAGAGCACTAAAATTAAGCATAAACAACAGCTGCATAAAACATCAAATCTACAAACACCCACTAAAATATGAACAAACTGAAACTGAGAGCAAACTGACACAAACCAAATTTAAAAGAAGGACCCAGAAAAATTATAAAACCCCGCAATTAAAACATAAAAATATACTCACCAAACTTTGTTATTCAAAAAAGAATGATAGTCAAAGCCAAGAAAAAATGTTTGAAGTCAAAATTTGAATTATCACTCTGCAAGTAGAACACAGAAACTGAGACTACATAACAATAATCCAGCTATCCATATCCATTAAAATGCCGAAATTTTAAAAAGCGAAACAGACGAAAACTATACAGAATTTGGTTTTCCAGAAAATATATGTATACTAAAAGAGAAAAACCCACATAGTAATTCAGAAGCAAAACTTAAAAACAAGTAATAAATGAAACGATTTTGAATTCCGAGGCTACATTGGAAGCTAGAAGTCTGAGTCTACGCGAGATTACAATAACAAAAATCCTAATATGCATACATATACAAAAATAAAAGAAAAGGCAAGCTAAAGATTAAAACAAAGAAGAGAAATAAAAAGTACTTGGCTAGGGCAACCATGGAGGGTCTCGCGACGTAAATTCGGAATTTCTGAGGAAGGGGAGATGGTGGCGACTCCGAGACTAACCTTTTAACAAATTTTTCAACCGATGGTTATTGCGGAATTTCATTTTCATTAGTCCTTAATAGTGATTTATTGGATTCAAGTTACTGCTCCAGTCTGTTGTAGCTTTTCTAATTGCACCCTCACTTGTTTTAATGATTTTTCAATTTGGTCCTTGGGAACCAATTGTAGATGCTCGATTTGTCCGGGTCCCGTAAGTCAGCTATCTAACCGTGCAATCATTTTGAGGCAACAAATAAGGATGAATTCATCATCGTGGGGAGTTATGGAAAACTGCATTAAAAACAGTTTTGTAAATGGGATGATAAAGAGGAAAAACAGTTTTGTAGGGGGTTCGGATGGGAGTTATTGAAAAGTAGTGAGAGAGAGTGGGGATTGATGGAAAACGGGGGGAAAAGGAAAGAAAGAGAGACAACAAGAGCATTAGGATAGTAAGGAGAGACCATTTTTTTTCTACAGACGACAGAACAAAAAATAGAAAACAAGTGTAAACAACATTTTCATATTACCAGATCAAACACTGTAAACGAAAAGAGGGGGAGCTTGTTGGTTCTTTTTTCTACAGAGAAGAAAAAACATTGTACAAGGGTGGATTTTTCCTTTTTAATTGAAAGTCAAAGGAAACGGTGGAACTCCATTTTTCATTGAATCAAAGCAACGCATAGCATCAAAAGGGTATTTGTTTTCAATTTCCATTTTCCATTGCTTTCATAATGTTATTGTGTGTGTCTATGTTTCAAATCAGAACCAAAACAGAAAAATAAAGGGAAAGTAGTAATGTTACCTTAGTAGTTGGGGTCGTATCGTCGGAGAGGGGAGACGCTAAAGAGATAATGAGGCCGAGAGGTCGAGATTTTTTTTCTTTTTTGAATCTGTTTTTAAAATTTCTAACGCGATTTAGACTTAAGATTGAAGGTTAGCAAGACGAGATGAGAGTTGTAAGGAGTTCGGGGTTGTCAGTTTAGGTCACCGAATCGACGAATAGTGGTCGGTATGAAGAGTTTAGAAGTCTTAGTCGAGAGGGGTTTAGGAGAGAATTGTAGGCTCGGGTTCTTCAGGGGTTGTTTAGATCTTCTCCATATGTTTGGTGCTGGTCGGATAATGAGAGGGCCACCGGTTTATGGTGGCCATTGCGCTTGGTCGTTCGTTGAGTGGCGCTGTGCGTGGCCGAGAGAGAGACGAAGAGTGGAGATAAGGGAGGGGAGATAGGCAGCATGTTCTACGTGAAATTAAAGTTTAGTCTAGGTTTAGTTAGGTTTTATAAAATATCATTTGGGTTAATTAATTTTTAGCCATTGAATTTCTTGGTAAAATCAGGTTTCCAGTCCTCAAATTTTAAGTTTGTTTTACACTTTAGTCACCTTTAGGACTGCTTTAGAATTTAATCTTTTGTGTTTGTCCTAATTTTGTTGTTTTTCCAATTTTAATTTTAGTTATCATTTTGTTAGGTTATTCACGTGTAGGTCCCTTGTTTGTGTGTATACTCATATTTAGGTCCTTGGTTTGTTTTTGATTTGCAAGCTGAATATTACATTTATTTAAATTTAGTCATCTTTTAATATGTACATATATGTATTTTAATTTATAGTTTAGCATGTTATGATTTTGTTTTTTTTATTTTAGGTCACATGTATACATAATATGTTAATATGCATAATTTATAATTTTTTAATTAAAATATACATATGTAATTTTTTGTATGTCACGTTGTATGATGTTTTTAATTTTGTATAATTAATTTTGGCATGACATCCATTTTTTGTACAATTTGTATGATATCCTCATTTGCATAACTCGACATATTACATAATCGGACTAAAGGGTAATACCCTTTTAATTTAAAATTGTCCTAAGTGGCCTGTCTTAACTGATTAGAGGGTCGTTTTGACGATTTTAAATTAAAAGTGTATCCTGAAAGTGAAACAAAAAAAATGATTCGTCACTTAAAATTTGAGAACGAAAGAAAATGAAATGTTCGTTTATTTAAATTTATCGAGAAAAGGTTGTTATAGCTTTTAAGATCTGGTCTCGATATTCGTAAATAATCGAACATTCTTTATCTTTCTAAAACGACTTGGTAATTTTAATTTAATTTATTTGGGTGCATTTGAATATTATAATGAAATTTTAATATTATATTATTTTGATTTGAGTAGGAATTAATTTTCTCAAGTACTGATAAATTATTCCTTCTCGATATGAAATAATTGAATATTATTACATTTCATTGTAAAATTAGCATTTTTTTCAGGATCATAAATCAAATCAAGTTTGAATTTGTCAAGTTCAATGCAAAGACATTAATTAATCGACTAGGTACCGATTTAGGGCGTTGTGGGGGGTGCTAATCCTTCCCCACACGTAACCGACTCCCGAACTCAATTTTTGGTAACGCAGACATTAATTTGTTGTTTTAATTAAAATTAATTTTTATTTAAAATGACAAAGCATTTTTGGGTGCCCAATCACACCCTAATCAAAGATTGGTGGCGACTTTTCAAACCGTATTTTTCGATCGTAAAGGAAATCTAAAATTTTTCGAAACGAGAGGTCTTTTAAATCGCATTTGTTTTTTTTAATTAAAAAGAGATAATTAAGAATTAATATGGTTTTTTAAAATTTCAGATTAAAAAAAATCGATTTGATAGCTTGGCGACTCCACTGGGGACCTTTTTTTTAGAGAGTTAGGTCGATAGTCGATTAATTAATTGTCTTTGCAATTGAAAGTTATAAATTCATTTTAATTTGGTTTTTGATCCCTTGTTTGGTTTTTAATAAGTTTTGTTTGTATTTTGGTTTTTTAATTTAATTCGATTAACAATTAAATAGTTGTATTGATCTGTTTGCTAATGGTTTCAGAATAATTGTGTGTTTTGGGATTTGATTTTAAGTGTTTTTATTGTTTGTTTTTCGCTTTTCCTCACACACTGCACAACTGCATTTTCATGACATGAGCTAAAACCCCGCTCCATCCAAATTAAGTAGGAGCGAGAGACTATGCCCTCTTGTGGTTTTCACCTCCGCATGGGATAGTGGATTGCTCCTGGAGCTCACGCCTTATGGTCCTCGTGATGGTAATCACCTCTGCATGGACATAAGAAGGTGTGTTCCCTCCAAATTGAATTCGATCCCCTAAAGCCTGTGATGGGCCAGGATTGAGGGTTCGACAGCCCAAGGGGGCACCGACAAGGACGATTCGAGAACCTATTACTTTAGAACCGAACCCAGCATATAGTGAACATAGAGCCCGAACTTAGGTCGAGCCTAACCCGAACCTTAAGAGTCCCGTGAGAAGGGTACACAAGGAAAAGCTTTTTGAGTCATTTATTTTCACTTTTCGAATAAATGCATGCGAACTAGAAATCATGCAGTTAGGTTTATTTGTCAAGCAAGCATGTGAATTAGATATTATGCGGTTAGGGTTTTAATGTTCAAACAAAGCATGAGGGTAGATATCATGTTGGGTAGGATCTACTAAAACATGATTGGGTAGCCAACATGTAAGGGTAGATTTTATTTAATGATTATGATATTTATTATCTTGTTGTTGATATTATGTGTACTAACCCATTTTTTTCTATGTCTATTTTATTTTGATTTTATTGCATTCGCATCTTCATGTCATCACAAGGTGTTAATTCGCAAGTGATTGACTAATAAGAAGGTTGGTCATACTGAAACAAGAAATTCTTAACCATATAGTCAAAATCAGGAGGTTCAAAGATATTCAGATGATCCATGAAGAAGGACATCCGATGAATGAAGAAATCTGAAGCTGATTGAAGACTTCCTTTAAAAGAGTGAAGGCCAAGATATTCTCAGAAGATAGATACAATTATACCAAGGACAAGAAGACCCTTCACAAAGACATGAAGATCACTTTGTATTGAAAGTAAAAATGGAGACCTCAAGATTCAATTTAAAGACATCTGGTGTCATTAAAGGTGATAAAGTACGTCGACAACTTTGGGCGCAATATTAGATTCCATGAAGAGTACAGCTTAAGGAAATAAAGAAATGAAGAATCACATTTATATTTTGACTACATGGTGTACTGAATTCTTGTTGTCTAAATGAAGGTTGTTCTATGGTGGTCACTTTTGGAATTAAAACCTTGTGCATTTGCATTCTTATTAGCATTAATTTATTTATTTCGTTATTGTTGCTTTTTGTCATTTTCTTATCTCATTTGTACTAACTTATTTCTATGTTGTTTTTTTTCTTTGTCCGCATTGCATGATCATGACATATTCAAAAGGTGTTGATTTGTGAGTGGCCATCATAGTAAAAGGTTTTCATGATGGACAAGGGGTTTCGTGATCAAACAGACTATAACACAGTCAAGAAATGGCATCCTGAGAAAGCTTCGAAAACAGTGGAGAGTTGCACACATAAAGATCATATGTCTGACAAAGAGCACAATGAGATAAGAGAGATAAAAGAGCAAATATCCAAGATGATGGATAAAATAGATGTTTTGTCCAAAGAAAGAGTGACTTCTACAAAAGAAAAAAAAGAACTCAATGAAAACAATCTCGAGGTGTCAGATACGCAAGGAACTACTTTAGAACCTGTTGATTCTAGTCAATATGAGAAATCACGCACAATCATTGTTCGTATCAACAAGTTGTTTGGAAATGCCAAGGAAATAGTGGCACCTATAGAAGTTCAGAAGGATGAAAAGAAGCCATACGGTCAGAACTCGTTGGTGTTTGATAGTTTACTCCCAACATCAGGGGAAATAAAACTAGAAACTCCAATTCAACCCAAGTTAAGAGATGGATCTCGTTGTGATTCCATCCCAATATCATATAAGGAATTGTATGATGAACTATTAGAAGCCCGAGAAGTGGCACCGCATTATGTGAAACCTTTGCAACCTCCATATCCAAGTTGGTATGACGTCCACGTTCGTTGTGAATATCATGCTGGGATTCAAGGACATTCTATTGAGAATTGTTCCATCTTCAAACGTCGAGTCCAACTTCTTCTAGATCATGGAGTATTGGAGTTTGAATTGAAAAGA